TATGAATTCTTTAATATGAGACTTTTTAGAACAAGCTTTAAAAACATTATTTTACTATTTAATGTATAAGTTAATACTGAATCCTTTCCCAAAATTCTACATTATAGGCCCACTGCCTGTGGGGACCCAGCGGGGAAGGATGGGGTGGGGAATAGGCAGAGGGTAGGCTGCAATAGACATAGCTTTAAGACTGGGTTATAACTGTCTTTTAGGGGTCTTTGAACTATCACTCAAAAATAAGTAGTAACTTGACTGGTTGGTTCATTTTATATCTTGACATCTGTTTTTTTCCTCTAGCACAATATTTTAATATTTTGTTTTGTGTTCTTTAACATATTCTATAAGAAAAGAATAGGTGAAAATACTATATTAATGGCTATAGGTAAGGAGATCTTGAGGATTTTACTCCAATAGTCATTGCTGACTTTAAGGGGTGGTGCTCATGTCTGTTTCAAGGCCATTGAACCAGCACTGTCTAAAGTTATTTCCATAGTCACACATGGTGAGTATGATGTCATGGAGCGCTGTTACCTTCCCACCAAAGTGGTGCCTATTTATCTACTTGAGTTTGTATGCTTTCAAACTTCTAGGTTGGCAGGAGCTGGAGTGAGGGCAGGAGCTCACCCAATCGCATGGTGCTTGGATCTCAAACCTGGGCTGCTGACGCTCCAGCCGACAAGTCCATTGAACCACTGCGCCTCCCTATATTAATGGCTATATTACCATTTAATTGGCTCAGGAATTTTTTTATTCTTATGTGCTGCTCTAAGCTTTATTATCTAATGGTAGAGAGTAAAAGTGCATAAATTTTTGAATTTTATATGCACAAATGATCCCTTAAATGAGATATTTGCTAAAATATGTAAAGTAGATAATAGTTCTTTAACACTTCCTTGAAAAGGATTTTTGCTTTAATGAAGGAGCTGGCCATCTGGTGTCTTCCTGCAAAAAAAAGAGTGCCCTGATTTATTTTTTATATTATAATAATGCACTTGTTTTGCAATATTATTTTATATTTTTTATATTGTAATGCAACTTTTTATACTAATAATAATTAAAAAAGAAGTCGTTTGCCTAATTAAGTTGCTTATTACCTATGGCTCAAGGAACAATGAGTTTAAGAATAATTCTAAAAATTAAAATGATTTCCAAGCTTTATTATTACAGAAATAGTTTTACAATTAGTAATAGTGCATTTGTATATAATTTGTATTTTTGCATTGCATAAACCATGAATACTGAAGTGAATTTGTTTGAAACTTACTTCAAATTATTCCCATTTAATAAAATTTGCTTTATTAAAGTGTATATAGAAATGTCTTATGAGATCTCAGGTAGCCATAGCAAACTGATTTTTGCAAATACCAACTCTACAGAGTTTGGGTGGCAGTCCAAAGGGGTAAGTAGCTATCTTCTGCAAATTGGGAGGTATTTCTATGCAATGTACTTCAGCTCATAATTACAGGTGGAAAAGATGCATTATCAGTTAAGTGGTTGGGAAATTGCAGTTGATATTTTGGAAGAAAGAGTAGTTCTATGATGTATCCTTAGATGTCATTGGGTTAAGTGCTTCTTTAGATGTCACTAAATTGAGTATTTTATTGAGATTCCTTCTATAACTTCTTGTAATGAACTGAAAAGAACAAAAGGACTATATATATATTTTCACTGTGATCAAAGGCAGCTTATAGAATCAGATATAGTGACTTTTGAATATGACCAGACCAGAATACCTGTTATTTAAGAAATAGTACAGCAACTAATAAGAATTTTGATTCAAATTATCAATAACAGCTGGTTATAATTTAAAGCATACTTTTTTCACTTTTTATTCTCTCTTCTTACTTTGTATTGTTCTTCATAACCGGTACTTCTACCATTCGGTTCTAATTCTGGTGTCACTAATTCACCCATTGTTGCCTTATCAAAGTACTATTAACTGGTTTCTGGCAGTTTTGTTAGACTATTTTTTTCCCAAGCATTTATTTCTCTTTATGATCAATGTTAATATTGGATAGCACAGTTGACTATCAACAGATATGCAAAATGTCTCCTTTGTAGTTTTCTTCTTTAGAATCTGTTTTGTTTATATAAAAGAAAGAGATTTTATCTCAATACATGGTTCTGTTATGATATAACAGTTGGTTCATAATAGAAATTAATTTCCGTTAATTTGTATTGACATTGCATTTAATTTACATCTTGCTTCATGATCTAATTCCTGTTGTCTTCCTTTAAACTTTCTGAAATGTGACTTGCTCTTGGCATCATAATGTGACTTAAGGAAGAATAAAATCTAATACAGTGTGACTTTTTAAAATTTATCCAGACATTTCAGGACAGCTAATTGTATAATTTCCTCATTTTAATATAATAATGTAAACTAGTGGAGGAGGAATAGCAATTTTATTACGGCCACAGACCAGCATTACAAACAAGGAGCATTAAAAAGTAAAATGAAATAAAATAAAAAAGACAATATAAAAATTAACAGTTAGTGATGTATTGGCCTGGGCAGTCAAAGTCTGCCTAATTTTGCAGATCGTATAACAAAATTTGGCTACATTCAATAAGACTACATCAGACAAACTTGTGAGGTTAAACTCTATATCTGTAATTCTTTGTAACTAACATGGAAATATTGGTTAAATTTGAATTTCAATTTTGGCAGAGTCTTTTACAAATGTATACAGTTAAACCTATAACCTATCTATTTGGATGAAAATCAAAGAAGTCTAATGCATTTTTTTTGCTATTCCCACTATTCACATATTAATTAATATCAATGGAATTAGTTTCCAGGTAAAGAGTGTGTATAAATTTTAATTTTTTTCCATTGATAGCTACTAGGATTATTATTTTCACCTATATAAGTGAACTTATATAGGAACATTTAATAATAAATGCCAAGGTATATATGAAGCCTATTCCATGCATATTTGTTATAGATGGAAACGTACACAAGGTTTTTTTTCAAGATTCCATCCTCTAATCAGCCTTCTTTACATTTACATTTGATATGTCTCCAGTGAGGCAATATTCCAGAACATCATCAGAGATTATGCTGGAAGAGAGGCAAATAGTTCAAAATTATACATAGCCACATTTGCCAAGATTTACCTTGACCTGGCTAGATAGTTTCTCTTCTAGCATTCTGTCAACTGACATACCTCCCAGGAAACCGGAAATTAACTGATACCTTGGAATTAGGATGCTAGTCTCTGTCATGATTTTTCAGAGTGCTTTGGGGGGGGGAAAAGTGCTGCATCTTGCACTTAGTACAAATTTAGATATGAACATTAATCTATGTTACAAAAACTAAATAATTAGAATAGATCTAAAAACTTTGCATTTTAAGTGTATATTCTTATAGGGAAGTGTGTTTTCTACTGTGAGTTTTATGAATGTATCATTATCATAAAATCTAATTTACCACAAGCTCTTATCATGTCATGCAAGGATGCATACCAGTGAACATTAAACACCAGAAAACAATGTAATAGATCTGTTGTACTAGACAGCACAGTTAATCTAAATATGGTATAGTTTAATTTTATTTATACAACAAATAAAATATATTTTTTAAATATATTTATCGATTTATTTTCAGTCTACCTAACAGTTCAGGCAACTCTTAAGAGGCTTACATCAAGATAAAATAAACATTCAATTATTATAAATATAAAAATGGATTAAAATTACAAAAATTAAAGCAAACTAAAAAAAAACCCCAAGGGTTTTGTGGGGAGAGGTGCCTTTTCTGTTGGTCTCTCAGCCACTTCCATCCAACAGCTTCTCCTTCAGGAGCCCATGCCAGCTGGCAGAGCCAGGTTTTTAGGTTTTTCCTGAAGGCTTATGATAAAGCTTTTTGAATCCCACCACTGGCCACCTCCTCTTTGAGCAGGAGTTATGAATCTAGGAGAATCCTGAAGTTGTGCACTGTGTTTGTTTGTCTGGGGTGCTGCCACCCCATCTAGAAAAGATGATTAGCTTCCATTTCCCGAGGCTCAGTACATTTTATCAGGGTTCAGTTTATATATCTCAATGAGTTATGTCTACTTTGTTATTACATTTATCTAAATAAAAATATTAGAAAGAAGCTTCAGATCAAATGCTGAAGTGCTGAGTTCTTTTAAATGGTAAGAGAATGATTTCCTTAAAAATTGCCGAGAAGTCTTTAGCAAGGGATCTGTGAAAAGAGTTTGTTACAGAATTGATGTTTTGATTGCACATTGGAATATATAAACATGGTTTCAACTTGAATTAATTTAATGCGGCCAATTTGTACATTCTAGTGATAATTGTCAAGAGGAAAATAATCAAGTAAAAGCATGTTGCAAAGGCTGAAATTAAATGATTATTTTGGATATTAAAATGAGTGTATAAATGGCTGGATATCAGCTAGCGATAATTTTAAACAGCAAAGGTTATGGATTAAAATCGTATACATAATTCTTTTTCACTTCCAGTGTGCAGCGGTTCCATACATTCTTTAAAAGAGGTAGTCTATTCGAAGTTACAACAGCACTGAAAAAAGTGACTTGTGACTGTTTTTCACACTTACAACCATTGCAACAGCCCCATAGTCATCTGATCAGAATTTGGACACTTGGCAACTGGCATGTATTTATGATGGCTGCTGTGCCCTGGGGTCATGTGATCACCTTTTTCAACCTCTGACAAGCAAAATCAATGGAGGAGATTCACTTAACAACCAAGTTCACCTATTTAACTGTGCAAGAAAAGTCATAAAATGGGGCAAATCTCATTTAACCATTGTTTTGCTTAGCAGCAGAAATTTTGGGCTCAATTGTAGCCAGGTCCACTTGTATGAATTTATCTTAAATGACTTGCAAGTTAATATAGTTCAAATGACTGGAATCCTTAAAGCATTTTTCACCGAAATCAGATTTCAGAGCAAATATTGGGTGGCTTATATTTTGCATAATAACTGTGCTACATTTTAAAAATGGAAGCAGTAAAATAATATTTATTTTTAGGTGACAATCTTATCCCTGCCAAAGAATACACACGTTCAGGTAGCATGGATTCCCTATCTTCTCAGTCTCCCACAACCGCTGCTCCTACCAGCCCTCAAGACACAGAGAAAAATAATCTCATAACTGACAGTGGCAATCCGTAAGTACATATTTTTTGTTTGAAAGTCTATCTGCTGTATTAAAAAACATGTAAAGTACAGATTTCTTGTTGTCTTATAGTATTTGTAAGTACCAGAAATGTGGAAAGCAATTTTGTTAGTTCCTTTTCAAGTTCCATGCAACAGAGTTAGCTAATTTCTTTAGATTTAATTATTTAAAATGATTTTGCAAATTCTTGATTGCTTGGAGTCCCTTCAAAATGTCTTTAAAACATTTACTTCAGTTTTAAAAAGGGACTCGTTACATGCATTTTAAACATATAGTCGACAGTAGCTGAAATTATATTTGGGCTATTTTAGAGGTTTGTAGTGTTTGGTTCTTGCATAAGAGGGGAACCCTTTAAAGTTAAATGTTTACATGATAATTCCTCCTCTCTTTGGCAGACCACAGAGGAAATAAACATTCAATCCAGTCCCCCTGTCCCTCAGCAATATATTTAATATTATAACTTTTTTATTCCTAATTGTCACAGCAGGAGATAGTGGCTAGATGGACTTGCTGGTTTTGGAAAAGCTAAACAGGATTATTCCTGTTAAATTAATGTAGAAGAGACCTCCAGCAAATCCAGAGTTATGGACTATACTACACAGTTCTCCTCCCCCTCCCTCCAAAAAACAAGGTTAAGGTAATCACTTTCATATTGTTTCCAAGAAAGCTTTATGGACACATCTAATCCCCAGGATTTATGTTCCTTTCAATATTTCAACTCGATCTCTAATTAATCCACAGATTTTCACAGAAATGTTTGACCATTAACATTTTGATTACTAATAATTTGCGTTTAGGAAATTTTGTCAGGGTGTTCATATTTTAGAAAGCACAGAGAAGCACAATGTATTTTTGTGATTAACATTAAGCTTTTAGGGGGGGAAAGCATTGCCTGCAAAGAAATGTTTTTTTTCCTTCCTGCACCCAGTAAAAATCAGTCTAAAAATTCGCCTCTGTGTGCAATCATTTGAAAAAGAAAAATATGGAATCACAGTGACAGCCACAGTGGAAAATTGAAGACTGTGCAGTTGCAAAGATTTTTTTGTAGTGCAGCCCAGGGTAAGATTCTATTCTGGGTTAAGATTTACATGAAAAGTGCAATTCACTTTTAAAAGGAGTGAACCTTTTCCTGCCATTCAGAACACCCAGAAGAAAGCTTGCCTAAACTTGTTGCTTATTAAAATTTTACATTACAATTATGATAAATATCTCATCTGACTATGCTTTTGGGCCTTCTAAAAGCATTCTTTTCCTTCTGCCATGTCTATAGTCAATGTAATTCATACTTGACAAATTTCCTATATAACTTTGTCTCAATTCATATACAGATTTCGGTTGACATGTGTTCATGTTATTCAAAATAAGACAAGTGAAACCCATGTATTTAATACAGTATATTATGAGATCTTAATTAAAACATTTAAATGTTTTAATCAATAATATTCAGTTTATTATTCAACATACATAATACTCAGTATACTAAATATTTTGGACACTTGAACTTCAGTAATATTAATTTAATTTTCAGCATATTGTTAATGTTTTAAATAAAACTAGGATTTAAATTACAAACACAGTTTTTAAAAATAATTAGCTGTAAAAATTTATAGAAGTCTACATTTGACAAAAGAGATACATTCTTACAAAATCTTTTACATGCCCTATCTTGGCAGAACAGAATTGGTCTGTCTCCAACATGGCGTAGAAATGATGGTCTTGTCCAGAAGGAGAACATTCAACAGGGCACTTTCTGGACAATTTAACATGGTTCAGGCTTTTATCAGGACACTGAGTTCTTTAATTTGGCATGCCCTAAGCCAGTAGCACTTTAAAGATTAATACCAGCTCTTAAAATTATAGTAGCTCCTGCAGATCTTATCCTAGGGTTAGGGTTAGAATTGTTAGATCCCAATTTTATTTTCACATCTTACACCAATTATAACTTTGATACACTTTTCAAGCATAATCCATTGTGGGGTCTATAACAGTAATCAAAAAAGGATGTTAGCATGACTAAGCATTACCAATGTTGAGCTACCAGCTCAAAAAGAATTTTGCAAGGGTGCCCAGCTGACACCTTGAATCCAATGACAACTGAAATCAAGTCAAATTCCTAGACTGTGAGCCTGCTGTTTCCAGATATACAACCCTTTCAAAATCAGGCTGAACCTCAGTCCCTCTATTCCAGGTTCTTCTTACCATCAGCACTTCTGTCTTACCATAAGCTGAAAAAGCCTTTTTTAGAAAGTATTATTATATTATCATTACAATTCTCTTTTTTTCTTTTTATTAATGCTAGTTAATATTTACTGTGCTGAAGCGAGTTTTTAGGTTCCACTTTGGTGGGAAGGTAACAGTGCTCTGCAATGTCATGATGGCCACATAACCATCAATTTTCGGCTGGGACGGCCTCCTGCAACCCTCTGCCAGTAAAAACAGAGCTAAGGCGGACCACACACGGCCGTCCTGAGCTCCGTTTTTGCTGGTTGTGATGCCACAGGCCAGTCCTTCGCTGTTTCCAGGACAGCCCCATGAACCAGATCTAAACAGCTGGCTCATGGGCCTTGACACCCCTGATATATAGACTTTCCCTGATTAAGTTGAAATTTAGGTATGATGATTGGAAAAATCAGTAATCAGTAGTTTATGATGATACATAAATGCATAACTGGATAAAATAAACAATTGTATCTTGTTTAAAAAAACAAAATTAAAATGCTTAACTTTTTCAAACTTCTCAGGAAGAATACCCAATATACATCAACTTTATATTAATTTTAGGCTTGCTTTTTCTTGGCCTTATGTTTTATCGTGTTTTATGGGTAAGAAAATCCTCATTGGATTGGCTGCAGATTTAGTTGTATACTATTTTTGTGCTAGTTGGTATCTGTCTTTCTGTCTGTAGTCCATCCACTCTCTCTATGCTTAAACTGATTAAGAAATAGGTATGAAATATTGTTACAATAGTACACCTGGAAGTTATCAACAATATGCTATTGAAGTGTAGAATGACCATACTGTAGGTACATGCATACTTTGATTTTTGTATGTAATGGACCTTATCTGTTTTAATTTCCTTTAATCAAAATAATTAGCCACTGCCCTTAAAATATGAAATCCAATTATTACCCAAGTAATAGAGGTTAAAGAAAAGTTATTATTTTCCTGTTTTTGGTTTGATTTAACAGCATATGCTCCCACTCAATGTAAAATACTTTACATGCAAGAAACATTTACATTTTTGTTCCTTTATTCAGTTTTAACTGAATTGTGGAATCCTGTAAACAAAGACAGGTTATGCTGTTCTATGAAACAAAATAAACTTGCCCAAAAGTTGGTATAAATTATTTCCTTGGCCTTTGTCTTCTGCTTTACTTGCTCACTGATTCTTGAGATAAAGGAATTCTATTTAGCAAGGTTACCTTGGCAAAAAGTCAGGTAATATCCAATAAACTTTCTTTTCCGATATTTAGTTCTTGAATATCAGTTAAAATTCTAATTTAATTTTGTCAAATTTCCAAGTTGAACTTTTAGAAATGGAATTATACCTTATAATAATTTCTCCTTGTCAAAGAAATGACCAGCAAATCTTTCTTCTTTCATAGATTTCCACATTCATCCTTAATTACTATTTTTTCATACTAGCTATGAAATATGAACCGCTCATATTGCTCGTCAATACTTTACCTTACTGTAATATTTATCTTTCGTGAATTACCATTTCATAAGCCAAATACAGAAACTTAATTTACTTGTTTTATTACAAAATCTCAATCTTCTATTTTAAAAGATAAAACGGTAGAACCATCTTCTAGGACAGGGGTCACCAACCTTTTGGACCTCAGGGATCAAACTCATAATTTTAAATCCCGGGGACCATTAATATGAATTTTGACTAATGGTGGCTTGCTGATGTTGGTGGGAGAGAGAGACAAAGAGAGGTCTGATCTAACCTCTCTCTCTCTCTCTCTCTCTCTGTTTCTGTCTCTCTCTCACACACACACAGAGGTAGGGATGGGATTCAAATTTCTTAACAGGTTTTGTGGGTGTGGCCTTATTTGTGGGTGTGGCTTGGTGACTGGCTGGGCATGGCTTGTATGTAAATATCATAAATATTTATGTAAATATTGAATTTTTTATAAAAAAGAGCAACTTTTACCTGAAATCAAGCAAAGCAGGCAGGCAGATTGAGTTGTTCACAGAATCTCGGATTCATTCAGAGATCAATCTGGCATCGGCTGCCTGAGTCTGTCACATAAAATTTGCTTGCAAGCAAACTCATAACATTTGCTAGCAAACAAAGTCACAAAATTAACTCACAACACACCATGTATGTAAATATTGATTTTTTTTTTATAAAAGAAACAAGAGTAGCTTTTACCCAAAATCAGGGAAAGCAGGCAGGCAGATTGAGTTGCTCACAGAATTACAGATTCATTCAGAGATATATCATCTGCCATTGGCTACCTGAGTCTGCACTGACAAATAAAAGCTTCAGTCCTAAGGAAGGTTCGGCTCTGCTTAAAAGCAGAGCCGAAGATCTAAAGATTAGCTAGAAAGCAAGAAATCCAATGATTTCATGCTTTCTAGCTAATCTAAATCTCCCTGCACAGCAGAACAGCTGATGGTCGGGAAAAAAAGGAAAAATAACAACTTAGCAGGCAAGTTTGCCAGGTAAGGAGTAAGTGGGTAGGGAGGGTTCCCGCGGGCCATGTGTTCCCACGCAGAACTTGCCAACACAAACTTGTGTTCCCACGCAGTTTGGATTAATTGATTTGGAGGGGTTCTCTGGCGGTGACATTTTTCTTCGGACCACCAAAATTTTCTCATGGACCACCAGTGTGCCATACCCCACCGGTTGGTGACCACTGTTCTAGGAGAAGGGAAATTCTGATTTCAAACCTCCACTGCCTTGTGGCTATATTTATTGGAAAAGGCTTCAGGAGTCAACCTCGAGGCAAAATCCAGAGCCGGAGTCCCGGAAGCAGTTCGTGTCTGTGTACAATCACATGCTGGTAACTCCTGTGACGCAGCTGGAACTAATTGTATCAGCTCTGCTGTTCCATAAGAATATTTCAGTGATGTGGGAAGGGGGGAATCTGCTGCTTGGGTAACAGTTTACCCAGGCCTTGTGCTCTGAAGAAGACACTCAGCTTTGCATACAGCACTGAACACGGGAAGTGGCAATTACCAGTGTCATAGCACAATACCATAGTCTCTTGAGACTGAAGGATGCCAATTCCATTCAATTTTAAAAGGGAAATGGGGGTATTATTTTTTTAAATAAATACTTGAAAGCAGACTCTTCTCCCCCCCCCCCCCCCCCAAAAAAAAAAGATTTTACAATACCTTTTTCAAAAATAAGGATTTTCTTTGGCTTATTGTTAACAATGAACTTTTCAAAAGAAGTAAAATAAAAATAAAATACAATAAAAATAATTAAATAAAATAAAAAGCTTGAGTGTACCCTTGCCACTTTGACTTTTCCCTGAACTTCTCATATATATCTGGAAGCCTAATTTTCTCACTAGCCTAACAAGGTTGAATATTTTAAAGCAGAAATCCAAGCTAAAATATGTTTGATATATGTTTAAGAACACATATTATAATGACTGAAATTAATAATAGAATTTATTTTACAGATCTCAGAACTAACTACAGGTTGCATTAAAATCATTAATTATTCTCATAAAATTATTTCAGATCCAGTGAGGTTCATTCATCAATGGTTTCCTGGATAAATCTAAAGTCAACTACAGCACAAAGTCCAGTCACAACAAACCTATCATTTTTATTTCCATCCTCTGCTACAGAAACTGATAGACCAGTTGGAAGGTAACACTGGAATATTAATTTATTTTCACTGTAATTTATCTCTTATTACATAACAGAAACAGGATTGTTCTTTTCTGTTCTAACAATTAGCATATACATAATTGTTCTTTGATAATTAAACTGTTTACTGTCATAATATGTTCCCATTCTTGATACAAAACAGAATATTAAAACTGGGGGGAGCAAGGCATAGACTTTAAGGATAAGGTTCAACTCTGGTCACACTGAATGAATTTCTTCCCCTTTCTCAGGATACAGTAATATATTTCAGACTATAATTTGCTTGTAATTTCCCAGCCGTCTGATCAATCATCTTAGTAAATATATATACGTAGAAGTCATGCCCTGTAGTATGCAGGACTGAGCCAGGTGGGTGAGAATACTGAATTGTACACCAGTCTCATTTGAGAATAGGAAATTAAGATAGTGGAATCTTTTACAAAAAAATATTCTTTCTCTTAGATAAAATAAGGAAGCCTCACATAAATTTATTTTGTTACCAAGGGAAGATAAGGAGGTTAAATAAATTTTATGAAATGTTGCTAAGAATTTCAAAATGTTGCATTTTAAATTCCACAGTTGGAATGAAAGATGTTTGATTTTGAGACAATTGCTGAAATGAAAAATGATATAAAAATTGAATAGTATAATACAACATGAGGTAACATCTTCATTAGTCCTTCATTAGTGAGCTTTAATCTTATTAGGACTGGAATTTCCAGTACTAAATGATGCGGTTGTAAACTCAGTGTTACGTGATCCTGCTGCTCAGTGACAGCAGTTATGGCAGCCTCTAGTTACCATTATTAAGCAAGGACTGCATTAAGTGATCTCCAGCCAGCTTCCCCATTGGCTTTGTGGGAAACTATCAGGGAATGTTGCAAATCATGATTGTGTACCACTGGTTATTGCAGTGTTTGTAATCAAGAGGTGGGTGCCGATTACCCAGATTGTGATCACATGAGTACTGCAACAGCTGGAGCCTCAAGAACCAGTCATAATTACCACAGCAGTTCAGTGTTGTTGCAAGTTGGAACAGTGGTTGTTAATAGGATACTTTATTGGCCAAGTGTGATTGGACACACAAGGAATTTGTCTTGATGTAAATACTCTCAGCATACATAAAAGAAAAGATATATTCGTCAAGAGTCAAGAATCAGTCATAGGGTACAATAAGCAATCAAATCATACTAGGAAACAGTCAATATAAATCATAAGTATACAAGGGACAAAGTTACAGCCATACAGTCACAAGTGGGAGGGGATGGGTGATAAGGAGTGATGAGAAGATTAACATTAAAGTAGTGCAGACTTTGTAATAGTTGAACAGTGTTGCGGGAATTATTTGTTTAGCAGAGTGGTGGCTTTGTGAGCATTACCTGTACTGACTTCACATATTTAAAGAGAAAAATCAGTATATGTTTAAACTTTCCCTTTGCAAGTACTAGGATGATTTTTATATTCATATAAATATTACAGTTATAATTTTAAGAAAAAAAATGATTATAATGGTTTTCAGTTTCTTCATGCTTAATAGCCAAAATACTATTTTTATTTAATGTGTCAAATGCTACAGTGAGTATATCCTAATCAAATTCTTTAATACAAATTCAATTTTTAGCTACAGATAATATCAAAAAACTAGGCAACTATAATTATGCCAACTAAAATGTAGAAATAATTTTAATGACCTTCGGTAAACAGGCTCCTGCATACTTCATAATTGGCTTTAGGGAAAGCTAATTATGGGCAAATCCATAAAAGAAAATGAATAAATAATACTGAAAAGTGTGCATAACATGAGTGAAGCCTCCCAAAACATTAATCCTCTCCTGAATAAAAATTTTAACACTAGCATCAATTGAGACAGCAGCGTTTCATGTTTCAAATGACACTTGAAACAAACAGGATTATTGATTATCAGAGAGAAAATGCACTGCCAATTTCAGCAGAGCAAGAAATGCACTCATAGGTAGATGAAGATCTTGGACCATAGGTTTCTTCTTGCTCTGGTCTTGCATCTTCTGCATTAACTGCTGATTGTTGTTTTTGTAGATAAATACACACACATACACACCGACATCAGGTCTTTCCTTGCCTGACTAGAATCAATATTATTTCCTTTTATTGTCATATAAAATTGAGGACCTGTAAATAATTGTACAACTTTTTTTCAATATTGTCAATAGAAAAGCCATGGCAGTATATCCATGTGAAGCAGAGCATAGTTCTGAGCTGTCTTTTCAAACTGGTGCTGTTTTTGAAGATGGTAAGTAGTTACCACTTTTATAATCCTACAGATAAGCACATCTTTTAGAAAGCTGACCCCTAAATGGGGTCTAGAGCAATACATGCAGCATCCATTGTAAGCATATGTGTTCCTGAGCCAATGTCTGATGAAGCTGGAAAAAAAATCGCATTAAGACAATCTGTGCACAGCTTGGGTTTAATCGTATTTGAACATTTAAGGGAACATAAGGATTTTTTATGCAACTGACTTATGGATCAAAGCAGAACTTGAGAGATATGAAGAACTTAATTGGAGATCCATATGAGCCATGGTTTTAACTCTTTGTGCTACATTGTAAAAAATACAGTGTAACGATGCAGTTTTTTATTTACATTTCCTTTCAACCTATGGCAGTTTTTTCTAATCTAGCCATCTTGATCCTTAGATTTCCAACCAATAGCCACACTAAAATGGGAATTCTGAGAGCTTCTGAAGCAACAATTCTGGAGGATACTAATTTGGGGAAGGTTTAGTGAGATTTGGTAGAAATGAGCTACATTTTGTGGACATAGTACATGGCACAAATCAATTATGGCACCTGTCCTGTGGAACAGTGTTACCCCCTGAAGTTGACTAGTTTTGACCTTGCTAGTCTTTAGGAAGGCCTTAAAAACTATTATGGTCCTTCAGGCTGTGGATTGGGATTTTGATATACTGTAAGGTGTGAAATAGCTGGTGTCCCCCAATTGAATGTGTTACTCTTGTGGCTTGTTAGTTGTTTTACAGCAGGGGTGTCAAACTCACATTATCACAGCATCATCACGTGATGTATCAGGACTTTTTTCTCCTTTGCTAAACCAGGAGGGGGCGGGGCCAGCATGTGATGTATCTGGGCCTCAGGTCACGGTTTAATATCCCTGTACTAGGCGCTCCAAAATTCTTACTATATCTTGTTTATTTTTATAATGCTTTTGTGTGTGTGTGTGTGCGTGTGTGTGTGAGAGAGAGAGAGATAGAGAGAGAGAGAATGTTTAGCAGCTGTATAAATGTTTTAAATCAATCAAAATAAAATAGCATTTCATCTAAGTTTAAAGTCCATTTATGTTTCTAAGTCCTGAGCTTAGTATGTATCCCAGAAGCAATAAGAATGCCTGTGTGATAGTTCTACTTTTATAGTACTTTGTCATAGAAGATCTTATTTTTTGTGTTGCAAGAAGAAAAGTGTGCAAAACATTTCACAAGAGAAAACAAACATCCAGGATGACTTGATCTATTAACCACAAGCAGCAACTCTTCCTTTAACTCTAATGTTCAACCATTGTCTTAAAGGAGGCATTTGCAACTTACATCATTCAGCTTGCAACTGAAGAAGGTGCCTCTGTAACAGAGGGCAATTATATATTATGATGCATTTTTTCAAAGAAGCTGCATGCCTTCTTCTTACTTGTCCTCTACCAGAAAAGATAGCAATTGGCTCAAATACAAGAGAAAGTTAACACTTCTATATCTGTAGACTTATCTCTCTTTTTGGCAGTTGTTAACTGGTGGATAACAGCAGAAACAGTAATGAATTACACATCAACTGTTTGCATGCCTCTTTTTTTAAAAAAAATGTAAATTCCTGAATGCAGGCTATATAGCACATTGATAACTTTCTAATGAAAAAAAAGGCAGGGTGGTAGTGAGCATTAAGGGGAAAAACTTATAAGTTGTGCTTTCTGATAAAGAATATTTTGTAACTAAACAATATCTTATATTATGTCAATGCCCGAAGTATTATCTCAGAATCGCTTTGTACTCCAAGTGGGTGCCTATCTGAGGTAATAGATTTTCCCATTTCTGACTTCAGTTCATGGGTTGCTGTTTGCTGAGTCAGCTGAAGTCCCATGGTGAAACAATGGTTTTGGCTAGGGAAATGATGAAAACATAAGGCTAATTTTGTTTTTGTTCTGGTGGTCTTAGATTCTCTGTCATTTTTTTAAAAAAAATATCTACTATCATTTATCTCCCAGGAAATTGTTTTGAGTCAGGCTCTCCCTGTATCTCCAAATATGGTCCCAAACTTCCTACTGGGCATTATTCTTTTACCTCAAAAATAGAAATAAGAAAAGTTTCTCATGAACTTAATCTTTTCATCGTCCTAAGACTTGGCAAAGTATTTACATTTTTTTAAACAAGTTAAGGCAGATTAAAAAACTTAGAAATGATCTGTTTTTCTGCATGAACAGAGAAAAGGGGGAAGAGAAAAAGACAAACATATTTAAAACAGAAATATGCATCCACCCTCTGGTTGAAATAAGTGAAGTTCATTTAGTCATTTTGCCACATACTATTATTTTTGCTTATAGTAGATTAAAAAATAGTTTTTTTCTATTATTATTCCTTCTTCTGTTCTTAGTCTGATTACCATTAAGAAAACAGGGATGCTATAGTTGCATCTTGTCAAAAATTACCTTATAGATACATTGCGTCTGAATCAAAAGTAATAAAAGAGGAATTAAATATGTATTTAGTTGCTTCAAAGAGTTCTCTTAAAAGCAAGTTTAGTTTAAAGGTGTGGTTTCTTGGCATGTGAGTTGAAACTCCTACAGTCAAGTCTATGTAAAAAATTGTTGTTGAAACATGCGGTTCACAAAGCAGGAATTTAGCAGAATGCTTTCAGGCATGTCAGACCTTGTGTCTCTTCCTCAAAAGAAGAAAGGGAAACGCATTTAAGGCCCTATTTAAATTCTCCCTTTGGAAAATGGGAGTTTGCATCCTTGCATTTGTTTCCACATCATTAAAATTACACCAGAAAACCTTCAACCTTTGGATTCAAGCTACTTCAGCGATGCCTTCAGGAATTTGTGAATGGTTGTCACAAATGAGATCCAGAAGCAAAGAGACTTTCCAAATGTCATGCAAAGTTTTTATGCAAGACCTTAATAGCATAGGATAAGCTACGTTATGTTTCTCTCTTATTACCAAAAGAAAGCTTGTGCTTCATAGATTTCCAAAGGCCATTTTTTGAGCCTTTTGAGAATCAGTCTGGTAGGATTTGTGGCATTAGGCTTTCTTTTAGCATAGTGGTTTAATTTATTCCCTTGTCCGTATGGCTTGGTTTTTGTTTGGCAATTGATTAAGACAGATAGATTGTATCAATACAGCCTTGTCTTACCCAACTTCTTGGAAAGCCAAAAATAAGAAATGGGTTCTTTCCAGTGTTTTGAAACAATTTTGAACACTTACCTACTTATTAATTATGTATTAAATTCATATAACCCATATCTCATTGTTGCAGTGACTCTGGGGGGCTTACAAAGTGATAAAAAGGTTAAAAACAGTACAAAAATTAAGATTAAATAATGAACTAAAAACCAAGAGGACAGGTGATAGGAGAGGGCAGGGATCCTTTCTGTACCCCTCAGCCAGTCCCAGCATAGAGCTCCTCTATCAGGGCCCCAGGTCAGCAGACAGAGCCAGGTTTTAAAGCTGCTCTGGAAGACCAGGAGTGTGGAGGCCAACCTCAACTCCAGCAGGAAACTATTCCAGAGGGCAGGACCACAGCAGAAAAGCTCTTCTCCTCAGCCCCACTAACCAAAATTCTTTGGCGGACAAGATTCAGAGTAGGATTCTTTCACTGAAGCAAGTGTCACAGCTGATCACACTGAAGTGAGTAGGCTCTTCAGATAGCCTGGATCCATGCCATGCCTATACTTACCCACTAATACATATTGTTTTCTACTTCAGATTTTCCCTTAAATCCCAAAGCCTTTACCTCCCCTTAAAGGTGTATTTTGCAGCACACTTGAACAAAAATTTTTCAAGACATTCTGCTTCTCAAGGAACAGTATAATTTATGCTAATCTATCATTTTATCAGCCCCATCTTGGAGTTTTTATTTTGTTCTGTTGAATATATTATTCAAATCATTCAGTCCCTTGGCTTCAATAAGGTCACCTTTCTTGTCTCAGTTGTGAGAGGATTGGACAGCTTTGCTTCAAATTGATCTGCTTATTTTCAGTTCTACAGAGACATCATGGTTCTTTATAGCCAGTTAAAGATATAAGGGTCAATCCTCTTTGAAGCTTGTATCTTTGATATATCTTTCCATCTTCAAGACTTCTTTGTCATCTAATCTTGAAAAAAGTGTTTTGTTTGTTAGGAGTGCCTGTTGCCTTTTATGCTGATAGGCTTGCTTTTTTCTGACATTATCTGGGTTGGCTTACCAGTATCATGGAAACACAATTTAATCAATGTATTTCACCAAATGGGTAAAATCTATTATGTTTTAAAGTGATAAGACAACTATGTTTCTGTGGGCACAAAAAGACACTTTGTAACAGAAATTCTTTCTTTCTGTACTATTTGATTGATATCACAAAGTCAATTCAAACCTAATCACACTGTCTTAGGTATGCACTCTTTCTTCTGTTGTTGTGTAATATGAACACCTGTCTTCTTGTGCTGACCAGGGAGTTTACTGTCATCCAAATACATTTTTCACTGGTGTTCTTCATTCAGCCATGCATTCATATAGCCCACCTAAGTTTACCATTTGCTAGTGTTTATGCCAATAGATACTTGGATTTCATGGTGCTTTAGTAGACTCAAGCAAATGAGGTGAATGTTGGATGACAATTTGTATATGTACATGTGATTTTTCTTACCAAAAATATCACCTCCAGAAGGTTCCGAATATAGACTGAGAAGAAAAATATGTGAATGCTCAATGATTAATTAAAATAGCACAATCACAAGACTTTTCCTTTTCCTTCACAAATCTGTCCACACCATTGTATCTACATGCATGTTATTCTAAGGGTTTTTTTCCTGAACAGAATTGAATCAGCTGTGGGAAAAATCCTTTCAGAAATTCACATTCACTATCAGTTGTGTGGAATATCAGTAAAATGGCCTTTTCTATATTGTGAAAGAAAAGCAAAGAACATGCTGTAGTTTCTCTGACATGGTCTTGGTCTTCTGACATTTTCTTCATACCGTGAAAGGAATCAATCCTTAAGGGCAAGATAAAAAGCACTGGCTTTTAAAAGGACCACTTCGTCCTTTTTGAGATGTGAAATACGTTTAAAGCCAAGCCCTTAATGTCCTATGTTCTAAACAGCTGTTGCTCATAGGAGTCCACAGTTTTATTCTTATCTGTGTAGTTGTGGATATTAAAGTCCCATAGGTGAAGTAGACAAACTTTATTACAGTTATTGATCAGCCAAAAACAAACAAAAAACACAATTTCCAAAATAGTATGTTAAAACCAGAATAAAAAACAATAATTAAACTAAAACATAAACAGATTTTGCTGATAGTAAAAAATGTAGCCACATTTATAGATATAAAATCGTATGAATTGGTTAGTAACGCTTATATATAAAAAGGATCTGGTAAACTAGATATCTAGCCAGATTGAAAGTTAGTATTTGAGGTTGGGCACCTTTATAAGGGAAGAATTACAGTAAAAGGAATCAGGAACTCCTTCACCACATCTTTGTTTCAGATGGGATACCCTGCAACTTACCTTAGGAATACTGTTGGGAGGATGTTAAATTTGCCTAAGATTGATAAGTCTTTGAATTTGGATCATGTGATTTGGCAAACTTGCAAAAGGGGAATGACCATCTAAGAATACATATTTGAGTATGGCAGTGAGTTGCGATTGGCTTCCTAAACCTGGACATTTGTTTAAAATCTACCCCTAAATATTCATATACCGTCTTCAAGATTATATTAAGTGAAAGAGCACTTTGGTTTTCATGCAGTGTTCTACCTCAGGATTAAACAAAGTCAACACTTAAAGTCAGAAATAACAAGCTCATGAGAGAAGAAATTGATTTAAGAAATAACAGAGGATGAATGTCCATATATAAGCTTCAGGGTTAATCCCACCAGCGTCATGAACAAGGCCACATTTGGAACACATTGTGGGACTTGAAATTTGTTATTTAAGAATTTAGATAGCACCCTTTAAAAGAGTGGAAGAACCATATGGTCTCAATTAGGTTCTGAACAAAAGCTGGGCCTGCACATTGGCTGAAAATACATTTAGTGCACTAGATATGAATAATGCATTGCTTGTATAATGCAAGACTTGTCTGCATTTTGGAAAACACAATCCACGTGTGCCCTGCATTTATTAATAGCATGACATTTATCTGTACATTCTTGAAAATGTGTTACCAAGCCAGAATTTTAGTGCGCTTAGTACAGGGGTGTCAAACTCGCAGCCCACGGGCCAGATGTGTCATGAGTTGGCCATGCCACGCCCAGTTTAGCAAAGAGGGAAAAGTCACGATACATCACATGATGACGCGAACTTGACACCCCTGGCTTAGTACATACTGGCAAATCTTAGGTTTGGGTTGTCAAATCTAAGCCAAATCACAGTATCCAAAAAGTCTAACCTAGGCAAATTTAATATCCTTTCAATAGCTTTCCTGATGAGAAATTCATTTTTGAATAATTATGTCTAAGTGCCGATGCACTACAATATACAGGTAAGCATGTGAATCTGCTTTAGATCATTTTGTGTCTGAAATAACAGAACTGTATCATTTGCACATAGAAGAACTGCAGTGTTTCTATCATTCAGTTTTGGAGGACGATGTATCTTGGCCATAAGAGGACTTAGATATAGCCTGAATATTAGTGAAGCCAAAATTCATCTTTGCTTCTACTGACAAAAAATTCCTTAGTGGCAGGGATAAAAATAAAGTGGCTCCAGAAATGAATATGTTTTTAATAATTTCAAGTGTAGTAAGTAGAATATTTTAGTGTTAAAGAGAAGTGTTTATTAAGCTGTGTTATTTACCAAATCTTTAAAACCATTTGTCCTTCAGTCCTTGAGGAAAGTATTGGATTTTTTCATGATGCCTCTCTGCCCATTATTCATTCATAGACCACAAAACCAGTTAATACGGGTCAGTCACTAAGCTTCCATATGCTTTAATAAACCTTTCAGTGACAAATTAAGAGAATAATGCATCTTTTCTATTGCTCTACCAATAACTTAACATATGAAACTGACAATTCATCCATCATATTGACATGCTACCAATAACAGCCACTTAATATAACCGTTAAATCACTGACTGACATGAATCACCACATCCATAAAGGAAGATTCTCTCCCGTCCACTTTTTCCTCCATATACTTACTATTCTCTTTTTAATCTCTCCTGTATTTATTCTCCCTTCCTTAACCTATTTTTTACGAGAAAATCTTGACCGGAATCAGGATAATATCTTCATTCTCTTTTAGCTAGTTTAGCCGTTACTTTGTTCAGAAGGATTGGATTGAGGGCAGGGAGTTGGGATCAAAGAAACAAATAAAATGGTAGAATTTGGATACCGCCACTATTTCAGGATTGGTGCAATTTCTATACAGTTTTAATTTCTTTTAGTTTCCAATCTCTCAGAGGCTGCCCCAAAGAAGAGGGAGTCAAGCTATTCTCCAAAGCAGCTGGGGGCAGGACAAGAAGCAATGGGTGGAAACTAATCAAGGAGAGAAGCAACGTAGAACTAAGGAGAAAGTTCCTGACAGTTAGAACAATTAATCAGTGGGAAAACTTGCCTCCAGAAATTGAAGATGCTCCAACATTGGAAGTTTTTAAGAAGAGGTTGGATAACTATTTGTCTGAAGGGGTGTAGGGTTTCCTGCCTAAGCCAGGGGTTGGACTAGAAGATCTCCAAGGTCCCTTCCAAATTATTCTTTATTTATTCAGTATTAGCATTTGAAAATGACATCAAAGAAGAGAGTCCCAAGACAAATCAGTTACTTTTCTTTAAGCAGCTACAAGTCAGTATGCTACCACTATATACCACTATAGCTTATTATTGTTACATTTTATTCTGAAAAGAGAATCTGTTCTACTTTGCAAAGTGGAAGAAAAAAGTGCTCAATAGCTTCCTCTGAGACATTTCATTTATAATTCATTTTTATTAGGTTTTTAAAGTGCTTGAATTGTTGTCTTTTTCAAGTCTTTTAATAACTTAGCTTTAATATCTTAAATATAACTGGAAAAATTGAGTCATGTTCCAAATCTCTCTCAGAGATGCAGAGAATACTTCAGAGGCAAAAGCGTCCAGTGACAATCATTAGATTTTCCAACTAATACAGTAGAAGTGCTCCAAAATCAAAGTATTCTAAATATTTTGTGTTGCAATAGTATTGTGATATATTAGGCCCGTTGATTTTTATACTACCATTTAGATCTGTAAGATCAGAAAGTACTACTGATTCTGAATATTTCTGATGTTTTAAAGTATTTTAGTTCTAAGGAATCTGGTATCTTTGTTTTAGAATAATACATTTTATTAAAATGCATAAGCTTTCATGAGTTGCAGCTCACTTCATCAGAATGGCTAGTTAAAGATATAGGATTTAAATCAGGATAAAACCTTGATGAGGAAAAAAGATTGGAGATTAGGGTTATGGCATGTAAAACAGATTACATCTGTATGATATATAATTAATCAATAATAGTAATGTGTTTAAAATTCATTGTGTTTATTGAGATGTTCTGATATTGCCAGAAACTTCAGAGACATGCAAATTCAGCAGTTTGTTGCTAAGTGATGGACTTAATCCTGCTTTTTCAAAACAGCTTCTGATACTACTTTGGCCTCATTTGGAGTCCTGGTGGTGCCAAACTTCTGTTCATTAATTCTTTGAGGAAAATTTATCCAGTTCTACATAAAATCCATACAGTTTGCAGATATATTGGAATATATCACATATGATGGAGAGTGTGTGTAGATTCCTTTAATCTTGTACATGTATTTGTTTAGTGATGGTGTTATTGGAGTAGATCAGGTAGCAAGTAGACCTCTGGGATTATGGCGCTGTCTCCTTCCATGTTGTGAGAATCTGCTTCAGGTTCACTGTGCATCTGATACAATGAGCTGAATATTATAAAAGCGTATGCCTTTTGATAAAATAAGCTGGGTTAGTTGGAAAATAGTAACTTCTTCCTCTTAATTTTTTGCCACCATAGACTTATATGATTCTCATATACCTTTGTCATTAGTGTTCCTGGAAAATGGAGATTCAAAAGATTGATTTTAAGTTGCTTATGTGAAATATTGGTTGTGCAATTCTGGAAAAGTTTTATAAATTATACATTACCCTAATTAACACATGTTCTTCTCTTTTTCTGTGTTCTTCAGTGCATCTTTCACGAGAACCTGGCTGGCTAGAAGGAACTCTAAATGGGAAGAGAGGACTCATTCCACAAAACTATGTCCAGTTTCTTTAGTTTTCTTCTGAATCCTTGGAAGGTGTACATGGTATCCATGGCTACAGACAGATAGATATTGTATATTGCTTTTCTTGGCTTCAGAAACTTTTAATCAGTAAAAATTTGAGATTAATATCTTAATCTGTATAAAGATGTAACAGTGCAGATGCATGTAATTTTATATGGAGTAGGGGAGAGAGAAAGACAGAAAAGGAAATTTAATTTTATAAATAATACTTTGTAAAGATTTAGAGTTATATGTATGTTTGCATGTTTGTAAGAACTTGAATCAAAAAGCCATTTAAATTGTTATCCAAATACCAGTTTGAAAGGTCACAAAACTGTTTAATCTGCTTTTGTATTTTAAATTTGAGAAGTATAAAACTTTGGAAAGTGGACTCGAATAATTTCTTGGAAAAACTGCAAACCAAAACCGTTGTAAAAGATTCATGTGGCCAATTCATTGTGAAGGTTGTAGATAATCTGAAAAAGGCATAGTTCTTCAAGCTGAGCACAAGTCCAGATGACTTCAGGAATGCAGCCCTGTAACTTACTTAGTAACAGTATGGAAGTGGATTGCTTTGCCTTCAGGATTTCATTTTTTATTTCTGCTGTAATCTCCAGTCCAATCTCTGAAGGACTCCATCTGAGTACTCATCAGGCTGATCCAATGTATTAATTGTGAATGCCTCAGTTTAAAAATGAATATATCAGCTGGAAAAAAAAGGATGCATTTAAAATCTGCAGACAGGATGAATCAAACGTAATTTTCAAATGTCCAAAGTATGAAAATAAATTTATATAAATTATGTAGTTTCACTTAAATGTGTATATACTGTTAAATGCAAAAGCTTTGGCAACACTGCATGTTTTGGTTAACTAGGTGGACAAAAGTCGCTATAACTTTTACAGTATACAACATTAAGCAAGCATTTTACTGAAAATTTAAACGCAGGCTTACTATGTATGCAACTGTTTACAAATTCAAAGACAATGAAAACTGATTATGGTAGAGGCAGAATTTTGGATGTTCTTTTAGTTAACATTTTGTAACACCTAGTTCAACAGGAAAAACAATTTTCAGGTGTAAACAACTTTAAACTTTTCTCTTCGTGCTTCTGAAACTTATACTACTCTTCTTTGTAGAATTATTGTAACTCAGAAATTTTCTTAGGATTGCTTACATGCATTGCATATTTTAGAACACCCTATAGATTTCCAAATGTAATGAAGTCTGGAGAATGTGAAGCTGCTTGAAGAACCTTTCATAAAAATTTACAGTCAATTTGAGGATATATGTCAGATTACTACCTTATTGAAATATCCATCCTCAATGTAGCTTCAATTTCTTTTATGACTGGATATTATCTTCTACATTAACTTGATGGGTAGTTGAAAGTTCTATTCTGCAATATTCACTGTTTTATTATTCTGTATAATCAGCTACACAGAAATACTAAGAGTGCATTCAAATTTACAGATGTATATCATGTATAACTTTGTACCATGCAGAGATTGGGTCAACTTCTCTTCACTTCATTAAAATATAACTTAACCAGGTTGCCAATTTTTTTTATGATCCCCTGAGAACTGTTGATTAAAATGAAATATAAACTGTAACTTTTTGATTTGAAGACTTTTTCTTTACTGTCTTCAGAAACAGTTTGTACAAGTTTTCAATCGGTTGGTGAAATTCAGAACTTTTTTTTCATGTTCAACCAAGAAGTTTTTAAGTCCTATGGATAATGAAAAGGAACTGAATGGATGGTGACTACTTAATTCTTTTTTATGTAGCTGTTTCTCGTAAATCTTCTGTTGTCAAATTTTCTGAACAAAATATTAAAAATTCAGACAACTTTATCTTTCTATAATAATGTGTTTATTACCTCTAGCTAGTTTGGGCTTTTTAACAATAATATATGAAAAAATATTATAATATACTGCCCTATAATATAAATTTCCACATTTTAGGTAATGATATCACTTACATGTACCACTTTTTAAAGAAAAATCATTGGAAAGTAGTAGGATTTTGAGGACAGGAAATTGAAACAGTGGAAATATTAATTTTACATTCTTGAATAATGTTTCTACCAATGTGTACTTCAACTTATCTTACGTTGCATGATCAGTAAATTCTTAGCAATTTTCAGCCAGAACTGTACTCTTCAGTTGAAAAATACTGATTCTGAGATTACAGTGAGACAATCTTTTGTGGCTGATTTGTGAAGTGCTACATTCAAGGAACCTAAGCAGCATTTATCAACATTTTGTTTAAATTGTTTCAGAAGTGACTTCTACTGCATCCTTTGCATCTGAGATAATGCATACATAAACCTAATCTAGTACAAATTGGAGTGTGTATTTCCCTAGGTATATGTATGCATAACTTTGTGCAGCTTTCTAAAGTCAAGTCTTGACTACAGCATGGTTGATGGCAAAATGCTTATTAAGAAGATAATGATATTTTTTTTCCCAGATAGAGTCGATCATTATATTCTTTGGAATTATGGGCATCTGCACACTAAGGTGTTTACGCAATAAATATGATTTGGAGCAAGTACAACCACCATATCTTCTTTTCATCTTGCATGGAAATCTGAAAAAAAAAAAACACCCCACCTTCCTTGCTGCTTTTGTCAATGGCAGAAAAGTGCTGTGCTTGTACAGTTTCTAAAGCGCTACTGTTGAATCATTTTTGACACATGCAGACTACATAAACCTACAAGGAAGTAAGGGATATTTAAATATGTATCAAGGTTGCAATAATGATAGCTACAGTTCATCCTCAATATAGCTGGTCACCACACACACGTTAGTAGGAAATAAATATACATTTGCTTCCTAATCGGAAATTAGATCGCATGACCTGGCATTTTACTGGACTGCGCAATAAAGCTGTGTTGTAATGAATATTTGCCACATACCAATTTTTAAATAAATTAATAGGAGTATAAGATCTTTGCTATTGTTATCCTTAAATTAAAATAGTTTGAAAAATAAATCATAGCTTAATGACACTTTTACACTGTTTTCTTTAATTGGAAGGTTTAACTGACAATCATTGGCTGCTTTTTTGCCCAGAACTGTACAGCAATCTGTACAAAAATTATTTCCAGATGACACAGTTGTCATCCAACATAGTGTTGTTTTTTTAGTCCAACTGGAACTCTCCCAGACTCTGGGGCATTAATATAGTTCTTTGTATCAAAAGCTATAATCTGTACCAGATAGCTTAAAGGTGATTCTACTTGGGAGATCATCAAGCAGTATGGAAATATTACCAAAACAGCACAGATGCCTGTGGAATAATGTAATGGAAATCAGATTGTCGGTTTGAACTTTTAGAAGGGCAATTGAGATGCACAGAGTTTTGAGTTTCTTCATTTATCTCTTCCTTTTCTCAGTATGATTGTACTCAAGGGATATAGAATCCCTGTGATGCCGTCGGCTAACACAAAATAGTATACTCATAGTTTCCTCATGCAGGCCTGATTAATCAAGATTCTCTGAGTAATGTATAAGAAACTACAATCCTTTTCACAATTGAATAGCTGAGAATGAGGGCAACAAGCATCATTCTACTCTCCCTCGTGTTTGGAGTAAATTAGACCACTAATTAGGCATAGTTTAGTTACATCTTTCAAATGAAAGGATCCAATTCAAGAGTTGAAAAGAATAGCTGTTTCTCAGACAGGGTTCATAGAAACAAGCAGAAATAGGTTTCTACTCGAATGCTGGAACCAAGCAGATCATGCTTTTTCCTCAGTGTAGAGCTAATTTTTAAGTGTTTCTTATATTCTATTACTTTTGTACATGTTATGGTGCTTGGGTAATTATAAGGGGCCAAGGCCCATGACCTTTCCCTGCATAGGAACTAGAACTAGAAAGGAAGACCAAAGAATTGCTGCATAATATGCTATTGTATCAATATTATTGTAGTAAATGTTTATGCTGTGGGAGCCACACTATGCATTACAAACAACCCTCAACTTACAACTCTTTGTGACTATTTGAAGTTACAATGGCCCTGAAAAAAGTGACTTATGACTGTTTTTCACAGAACCGTTGTAGCATCCCCATGGTCAAGTGATCAAAATTCAGAAGCTTGGCAACTGACTCATATTTATGACAATTGCAGTGTGCTAGGGTCGTATGATCAGCTTTGGCAACCTTCTGACAAACAAAGCCCAATGGTGAAGCCAGACTCACTTAACAGCCATGTTACTAACTTAACAACTACACTCATACAGAAGGGCAGTGTCCGAAGGAATCTAGGAGGTCTTCTAGTCCAATCCCCTGCACAAGCAGGAGACCTTTTATCATGAGAAATGGTGGTTCACTTTTTTCTTAAAACCTCCAATGATGGAGCACCCAAAACTTCTAAAGGCAAGTTATTCCACTGATTTAATTGTTCTCACTGTCAAGAAATTCCTTAATTCCAGGTTGGTTCTCTCATGGATTGGTTTCCATCCATTGCTTTTTGTCCGCCTTCTGATGCTTTGGGGAATAGTTTGGCCTTCTCTTCTTTGTGGCAGCCCCTCAAATATTAGAACACTGCTATTATGTCACCCAATCTTTCTTTTCACTGGACTAGGCTTACCCAATGCCTGCAATCGTTCTTCATATATTCTAGCCTTCAGTCCCCTAGTCATCTTTGTTGCTCTTCTCTGCATTCTTTCCAGAATCTCAACATCTTTTTTATATTGTGATGCGCAAAACTGGATGTAGTATTCCAAATGTCTTACCAAGGAATTATAAAGTAGTATTAATATTTCATGTGGTCTTGGTTTGATCCCTCTGTTAATACAGCCTTGGATTACATTGGCTTTTTTGATGGCTGCAGCACACTGCTGGCTCATATTTAAGTTGTCCACTGGATTCTAAAGTCCCTCTTGCAGCTATTGAGCCAGATACATTTGGTTTTTCTTGCCTAACTGTAAAACTTTACTTTTCTCACCACTGAATTTCATTTTGTTTGATAGGCCCCAGTATTCAAGTCTGTCAAGGTCCTTTTGGATCTTGAGCCTATCTTCTGAGATGCTGGCTATTCCTTTGGTGCTCCAGGATCTTTGAAATATTTGGTTCAATGGTTCTGAGATCAAATCTGCCATCTCCTTCAGAACTCTGGGATGTAATCCGTCTGGTACTGGTGATTTGAACTCATCTAGGGTGGACAGGGATTCTCTTAGCATTTTCTTGCTTATTTTAACTTGTATTCCTAGTCAGTCTTTTATGGTTGTTTTTTTGGTAGATTGGGCTATTTTTTTTCTTTTGTGTGAAGAGAGCTGCAAAGAATGAATTAAGCAGCTCTGCTTTCTCCCTGATGCCTATCACTTCCTTGCCACCTTCTCTCATTAGTGAGCTAACTGTTTCTTTGACTTTTTTCTTATTTTTTATATGTTGAAAGAAACTTTTATTATTTTTTGACATTTGTTGCAAGCCTTAGTTAATTCTGAGCCTTAGCTTGGGCTAAATGCTGATATTCTGCCTCATTTATGTTTCCCTCTTCCATGTTGTTTACGTATCCTTTTTGTCTTTCACTTTAGCAGTGAATTCTTTATGCAACCATGCTGGTTTCTTCTTGGATTTCTTATCTACTTTTTCAGTGGTATTGTGGTGGACTGAACTTTTATAATCACATTTTTCAGAGTTTCCCAATCTTCTTGAATTGTTTTCCTCTTTAAGATTTTTCATCCATAGGAATCTT